GGGGCAGGCGGGGATCGAACTCATGCGGAAGTGGCTTCAGTTTCTCAGTGCAGTGCTTTAACCCGCTGCGCCACCAGGGAGGGCCCAGCTTTCTTATCTTAACAAATTACCAGAATATTGTTCATCGTTTGTATGGATGAATATCATTTCAGAAGTTATAATAAGTATCTTTACCAGCAACCTTTTCAGCTCTCACCAAAAGATGCAAAATCATAAACAAAATTTGGCCATTCTTCAAATCTGTGCATGTACATGAAACACACTATCTCTTCTTTGAATTTTATGATGTATAGCCAAAACCAATATTATGTACACAGAGTGAGAAATGTTCATGTTCCTCATCAGTGTAATTTGTATGACCAAAATAGAATCAGAACATCCTAACCATTTATATATAGCCTGGGTACATAACCTCAGAATGGCATATTTAAGAAAGGACTGGTTCAGTGAGAAGGGCACATCTTAAAACAACCAGCAACAACAAATGTTGGCAAGGATGTGGAGAAAAAGAACTCTCCTGCAGTGCTGGTGGGAATGCAAACTAGTACAACCACTATGGAAACCACTATGTTTGGAGGTTCCTCAAGCTGCTAAACATGGAGCTTCCCTACGACCCAGCAATCCCACTCCTAGGTATCTACCCAAAAGACACAAAAACACTGACTCAAAGAGATACCTGCACCCCCATGTTTACTGCTGCTTTATTTACAACTGGAAGGACATGGAAATAACCCAAATGTCCAAAAGTGGATGTTTGGATTAAAAGATGTGGTACATATACACAATGGAATATTACTCAGCAACCAAAAAAAAAAAAAAAAAAAACAAAAACACATGCCTTTTTCAGCAACATGGATGGAGCTAGAAAAGATCATACTTAGTGAAATAAGCCAGAAAGAAAAGGAAAACTACCAGATAGTTTCACTCATAGCAGGAGTATAACAGAGCAGGCAAGAAAATAATAATAATAATGAACCAGCTATATACCAGAGACATTATGTGGGGGTGGAGTAGGGAATGGGATCAAAAACAGTTGGGGGAAGGAAATGCACTGGACTATGGTGATGGCACATGGGTGATTTGGTGATGGGAAGCCCACGGAGATTACACCTGAGATGGAAAAAGGCACAAAATGATGTAAAATAAACTATTATATTGTTTAAAAAAAAAAAGAAGAAGAAGAAGAAGAAAGGACTGGTTCTTTTTTTGGCATGTGGCCTATTCTTGTGTGACTTATTAAGAGGATTCATGAGTGGTAATCAATAACACCTGCTATGCACACAGATCTAAGATCATTGTCTTTTCTCTCACATGGCAATGAAAAGTTCTATACAACAGTGGGTTACTTTCTTTAAGGGGCAATTCTGAGTTGCACCCTCCAATCCCTTAGTTTACCTTGCTTTTTCACTTGCTCCAGAAGAAGGTCCTTCATGGCAGGCTCTTCTGCAAGGTCAGAGGGAACTTCACCTTCACTATTCACAATGCCTACACTGGCTCCGTTGTTAATGAAATACCTGCGCAGACAAAATCCAGCATCAGTGTCATCTCTGTCAGCCTCATATAAGCTTAGACTCATGCATCCAGGGTTCAATGCAGAGCAAGACCTCTTTTGGGGAGTTTCAAACATGGTCTCAGATAAGTGTATCACTATCAATTTCTAACTCTATTAGCCTTTAGCAATTAGGACTGGAAGCTTCTCTATTTCCTGACGAGAGCAATGCCAACAAAGGTATTTTCATATTCATATTTCTAACTGCCACCATTTCACTCCCAGGGATAGCAAGAAACTTTCTAAACACCATAGGAAGGCATGCAGTCCTAAAACTTACCCACCATCTCTGAGCTCAAGCACAGGCTCCCCAAAAATGTACTATAATAGTAATATTGAGATTGAGGAACCCCAAAAGATGTGTAAAAAAGAAATTTTCCAGTGCCACATCAGAGTGTAAGTAGTGCTGGCACATGAAAACAGAAGAATAAAGCTTGAGTGAAATTTTACATAAATCTGCCTAAATTATGTCTCCACAAAACTCTCTCTTCAACCAGCCATATACATGAAGTCTATACACTAGGAGGAAACAAAATCACTAAAGAAACAATTGAATTCTAAATAGTTAGATTCTATATACCCAAATACAATATCTGATCATGAAGAAGAAAGGTCTAATAATTGTAATAACTTACATGGATTTTTTTTATTTTCACAGTGCTTTCACATAGAGTTACATAATTGGTCTTAGATAACTTTTTGTAGTACGCAATATGAGTGGCTTTACCCCCACTTGAAGAAATCGAGGTTCATACATGCTGAGTCATTTTCTTAAAATCACACAGGTGGCAAATTGCAGAAGTTCTGGCCCAGTCTTTTGACTCCAAGTCTAGTTCATCACTTCACTAGATCAAGTTACTTTTGGGCCACTTAGAATCCAATAATGCTGGGAGCTTTACCAAATACTCAGAAGCATTTAAAGGGGAAAGAAAAACTATTCAAATTTAAATAGAACCACTCAATTCAGTAAACATTTATTGGTCCCTTTACTTTTAAGGGATACTTTTAAAAAGTACCCAACACATGATCACTGTATTCAAAGAGCTGACAGAAGAGAATCAACAAAATTAGGCTAGTAGCATATTTTTTGCTTTCTTAGGGCTAGTGCCTGGGATAGTAGGGCCTTAACAAATGTTTTTAATTTATAGATCAATTCTGCAGATAGAAAATACAAAGGCATTCATAGTTCATCTAATTTTCAGTTGTCTCCTTCCTTCCCTCACAGTTTCAGAGGAAGATAGACTTTCTCAATTTCAAGGCTAACTCCACTTATCTGATTCTTAATTCTATCAAGTACCAGTTTTCCATCAATGACCCCTTCATTTCCACATATTCAATAGCTCCTCTCTTCTGCTTCCTCTTCTTTAGGCCAAAGGAACATTCAACTACACCTCTCCCACCCTGAAAAATCAAAATGCAAATAATATATATCATAAGCACTCAATGAAACTTTGTTGGATTGAACTATACCCTATACACTAATCAAACTAAAACACTTACTGTTTCCAGATATCCCATCCTCACCCCGCTCTTGTCCACAGCTCCAACTGGATGAAACACCCTCCCTTCTAAAGACTTTTCATATCTGCCAAGGTTCACTTAAATTGTCTTTGCCTTCATGAAGACTTTGCTCGTTCTCATCAATTGAATTTCCCTCTCCTTCCTTTAACTCCACCTTCTCTCCTCTCACCTCCCCAGTGCCAATCCTGGATCCCTGTCATGACATACATGTGTCATGATGCAACCTCCGAACCAAACTGAGAGCTACTTGAGGACAGCTGAGTCTTCCTCACCATTGTCAATGCCATGACATCTATGCCATCTGACACGCTCTTTTCACTTGGCACTCCATAAATATTGCTTGAAATAACTTAAACATCTTAATCACTCTGCTCTGACATCTATCCCATTCCTTAAGGATCAGGCACAGTGTCACTTGGGTACACAGGTCCCTGCATTTCCTTTTTCTGACATGTTCCTAGGCTCATGATCAAGAACACTTGTTTCTAGAAAGTAATCTGGCTTGTCATGAATCAGAAAGAGATTATATTGTTAAGTAAAACTGCCTACTAAACCAAGTTTGGGGGAAATAAAAACTTTAGTTTTACCCTTTTATGCAAACAAGAATATATATTAACCTATGAAATTACATCTACTTTACCTCTGAGAATCTTTATAGCTGCCCAGAGGCTCAGAAATGCTCATTAGCTCAATAAATATACCCTTTAGGAAAAAAAAAAAACTTTCTAGCCTTCCTAGCTCATAGATATGAGGTCTTTTGCTACTGTTGTAAGAGAGGAAGAAAGAAAATGAAATGTATGCCAAAACTCAGAATAAATTAGCATCCCAATAAACTATCAAGTCAAATGAACTTGATAGTTCATTCATATTATGCACTTGAGTCAATCTGCTGCTTCTAAAGTAAACATTCATTAGTAATAAAATTATAAATCATTCAGCTAACTAGGATGAAGCCTGAATAAAGTTAAAGTGAAGGGAAAAAATAGTTTCTCAACCTCTTTAAAAAATACTGAGTTCCAGGATAAGGCAAAGGTCATCATGGAACATGCAATAGAATACACTTGAATTCTTCCTAGAAAGTCAATCAGCCTTTTGTTCATTTCAATTTCCTTGAAATTTAGAGTTCCTAATGATACTGGGAATAAGACTGTAAAGTTCAAGGCTTTTATGATATAAAAAGAAAAATGGCAAAAAGAAAAAAAAAGGAGCAAATCTTCTAAAACACTGTTGATAGGTTCTCCAGTAAAGCAACCAAAACAATAATATAAGCAATGGGACTCTTTTTCTTTGTGTAGAAAATAACACTCTACCTTGCAAATAAATAATGAAGCAAAGTAAATGTCTGTACAATAACAAAATGCATAATGAAAAATGAATTGAATTGATGAAGACCATCCATCCATGCAATTACCACCCCTTCCATGCAATTAATTCTGTCCTCGGGTCAGACTGTCATAGGTCTAATTAGTTATAATTTGCATGAGGAAATAGTAACATTCACATATTCATATTAGTCAATGCTAGATTTTGAACTTATTTCCAAAGAAACTGTATTCACAACAAAGATGAATTAAAGAAAACACTATCAAAATACATTTACAATCATTCTCTGTCCAAGCTTCACAAAAGGAAGAAAAAGAGACTTCATGGATAATGCCAACAGAAGTGATCCTAATTCTAAGCATGAGCTCTGCTTGTTACCTTCCAAATGGAAAAGAAGTGAAATCCTTGAACAGAGTAAGAATGGTAGCTCAAACAAGCCACCTGAACAAATAATTAAATATCAATTTAATGAGGGGCTAACAAATTCTATTCTCTTAGATGAATTTTAAAGTAAATATCAAAATCTGTAAGAAAGTCACCTTAACTCTTTGAGCATTGGAATGTTGGCATGTGTGGGTATGGCTGGGAATCAGCTTTCCTGTGAGACTCTGAAAAAGGGGCAGTCTAGGGGAGGAAGAAGTGACTGACTTACTAAATTAAAACAGTGAAAAATCAAGGGTGAAGAAAACTACACTGTTCTGTTTCTGTTGGCTTTGGGGCCAATCCAACAGTCTACTTTTTAGAGCGGGCAGCCCAGTCAAATACCAGTGCTGCTGCCCAGTGTTTTTCTGGCTGGGACTGTCCCTTTGTTTAACTTTGCCCACTGAACATCCCTGCCTCAACACCAAGCCAGAGACACAGGCGCTCCCACAGGAAACCTGGACAAATTAGCTTCTGCGGGAAGCCATTCCCAGGCCTCGACAGAGGGCCAACATAATTCTCCCTGCTGTTTGCTCAAATAAATGAAATGTAACAGAGCTCTAATCATATTGGAGCTGAAAGGTCTTAAAATAAGCAATCTGATTGTCAAAAGACCAAAGATTATCATAATTTTATTTAGGGAATTTACTTTATCAATCTAAGTTTAAACTTATTTAGAATACATTCAATTGCTTTGTCTTCAAGATGTTTCAACTGTCAAAGTCTCTTTCCTATTTAAAAATAATTCCTTGGTGATTCCTTCATTCAATAGACATTTTTTTAGTACCTCTTATATGGAAGTTAGCGGCCACTGATTCAACTAATTGCTAGAATACATGTCAATCGCTCATGTTCCTGTATTCCATATATGTTCCATATATGTTTCGCTCCTTTTTCCAACTAGTATTATGGTTAAAATGCCAGGTGTTCTCTAACTTCATATGTACTAAGCCTGATATTTCAAAAGCAATAAAATGAGTGTCTAAAGAAGTCTACAACAAAAACTACTGGCCTGCCCACCTACATGCCTAGTGATGGGTGCTCAAAAAGTGAACCGAGACAATGCAACACACAGAAGACATCTCTGCATATCCCCACAAATTCCTGAAAATAGGAGCAAACAAAAAGTTTCAGCTAAAAAACTGGTTTTAGCAGATATATGAACCATAGTACAAATTTTTCCTTAAAAATAATTAAACCTCTTCTATAGTTTATAAGAAAGATTTCAATTATGCATTCAAATTCTTAAGAGCAGAAGTAAATTAAGGCTATTTCTACGAACAAGCCAAAGCCAGAGACTTACTCTGCTATGTTGAGGTAACCACAAGAAGCTGCTGCGTGAAGGGGTGTCCAGCCCTCGTTATCCTGCTGGTTTACATCGGCTTTATTCTCCACCAGAAACTTGACCATGTCCAAATTTTCATCAATACAGGCCTGAAAAGAAAAGTCCATTCATTCATTCATTCATTCATTTCATAAGTACTTACTGAGTTTCACTATGTTCCAGACACTGCTCTGGGCACTGACAATAGAGTGGTTCTAATGACATATTAATTTCTATCTTTGCATAATGCTAGAAGTGTCTGAAGTATGAATTCTAAGCTTTGTGATGTTATGCAGCCCCAAATGTCTCCATGAATCAATATCTCAATTGTGAAATGGATAATGATACTTTATCTTATTTATAGTACTATAGAATTGTGAAACTATAATGGGTGAACTATTTTACTGTTATATTATAAAAAAGGAGACATGTTAGAAACTGTTGATTTGCATGTGATTTTTTTTCCTCATGAATTTTAAAAGAAAATAGTCACACAGGGTCAAATGCAATTTTTTCAGTGGGGTATTGTAGTTTAAGATTGCTAAATAATCCATGGTATTGTAGTTTAAGATTCTGGAGTTGTTAAATAATCCCTGCTTTGGTCAGAAAAGATGAGATCATTTCTAAAAAAAGAAATGTGTTTTTTTTCCATGTAGTTATTGAAAAACTTCAAACAATATGGCAGAGAATGTTTGTAATAATGGGTGTTTAGGGAGTTTTAGCTGCCCATAATGTAGCAAAATATAGGAGAAAACAGATGAACTTTTTGATAAAGGCTTTACGCCTACCGTAACCCTAAAAGAAATAGTCACTACAGCAATGAGATCTGCAAAGACAGTCTAACATATTTATAGCAGAAGAAGGAGGTAAAAACATGTTAATAAAGGTAACCATTATCAAGGCTGAGATGGTTCCAAAATAGTCAGGATAATTCAGGATTAGGAACAAATGAGACTTCTCCTTTTTAACCTTGCTTTCTCCCTCCTTTTCAAAAAAAAAAAAAAAAGTTAAACAAGCTGAGGAACAACTAGCAGAATAAAAATGATTTCTGTAACAATATTAAAAAGGTGATTTGGGGGTCTCCTTAGTGGCACAATGGGTTAAAGCACCGCACTATGAAGTTCCTGAAGCCACTGTGCATGAGTTCCATCCCAAGCAAGGAGCTGATCCACAGGGTGCAACAGATCTCTCCTGACCGTCTGCTGCTCCCCTCAGCAGTGTATTTCAGTAGACCTGCCTGTTCTGTTCCCTACTCTGTCTCTGGTGAATCCTCTTACCTACCACACCTCTGGTGTATGAATAAATAACTAAATCTTTTAAAAAAAAAAAGTGATTTGTCTTTTGCACTGTGTGGTGAATTGCTTGATGAAGCAATAAAAAGTTATCAATGTTATTAAATGTCAACCTTGAACTACAAGTGTTTTTAACATTGTGTGCAACAAAAATGGGAATGATCAGAAAGCACTTGCTGCAGTTGCATAGCAAAGGACATAGCTTTCACTCAGGGGAAAAGACAAAAAATAAAGAAAAAAGAAAAGAAAAGCTCTTGTGCCAGTTTGAGTTTTGAGATGACTAGCTGCTTTTCTTATGGGACGCTGTTTTCATGCAGAACTGACAGATAAATTACGATTATTAAGACTTGAAAATGAACAAGGCAAGCCTATTCAAACCAGCAAACTAGTGCTTGTTGCAATGATAAAATTTAACCATTCAAGTTTAACTAGAATTTTGGGAAACGTGTCCACTGCCATATGCTTGATAGTTGCCCAACACGCCCTCTTCTGATGAGAGAGAACTGTGGACTCTCAACAAGTGTGATTTGTTGATCTTGTAAAATGAAACTTGCTAACATTTGGAAGATCCATGTAATTCCATGCACACATATATTCCCCAACTGGTGAAATGCATGGTGTCAGAAAATCTTACATGGGTCAACAATTCAAAGGATAAGTTAAACCACTGAATTTTATTTCACAAAGCAAGAACAGTCCATTAACTAGTTTTCAGATTCTCCATTATAAATGACATTGAAGAAACTACTTGTTACGAGTTTAGTATCATAACCAAGAAGAACATTCATAATTGTTTGAACAGATAATTAAAATACACATTTTTCCAACTACATGATCTATTTGAGAGCATATTTCCCATTTATGTGTTCACTGAAAGAATGTATCACAATAGATTAAACACAGACATTAAAAGATTTATAAAAATATAAAGCAATGCTACTCTTATCTTTGTTTTTGAAACTATGTACTTTTAATTAAAATGTGATTTATATTAACATGTAAATGGACTTTGCTATTTTAAATGAATTAATAAACACACACTTTTAAAATTTCTCAACTATAATAATCCATATGAATAAAAGCTCTTTGCAAAACTGAATAAATTTTTAGAGCATAAAGGAATTATGAGATCATAGTCTGAGAACTGCTATTTTCAATCAAACATACCAAGGAAGACTTTATGGTCATAATGGACAACTATTTAAACAGCAAAGGGTTCCTGGGGGAAGAATTCATGTTGGAACTTTGTTAACTACGGAACCTAACTAGTACATATTTTACCAAGAGAAATTAGGGGGAATTCCTGCCTATACACCAAGGGATGGATAAAAAAGATTGACCCAATTTAGATAAAAATTTAATTAGGTAACCCTGGTTACAAAAAGCATCTTTGTTCATTTTTCCTAGCCCATTTAATACTCTTTTTACAGTTACTGAGATTAGTTAAATATACCAGCCTAGCTTTGACTTGGGTGCATATAATGTATTACTCCTCCAACCTAACCTTTCAAAGTCAGATGACTTAGATTTATTAACATTCATAATGGTGTCTTCTTCAATAAGCAGTTCCAAAAAATACACTTGGTCTATTAAGTTTTCGTAGGTTTGTCAATTTTTACAAGCATTCTCCATATATTCTTTACTGCATAAAGCATTTCAGAACTATTCATAATATTTTAAAACAATTCACTTATGTTTATCACTAACCGTCAACATTATATGGCAGTCTGCAATCCCACAGGGTAAGGTTTAGTCAACTTAATATCTTACTAAAAACTGTTAATAAAAACTTCTAATTAAAAGGATGGAAGGGGTACTTTTCAAAATGGTACTTAAGTCCAAAGAAAAGAAAATGTTTTAGAGGTTAGGCACACCATTTGTCCACATAATATAAATACTAAACCACTATATCAAGGTCAAATGTGCCATCTTAACTTGTCTTGACCAGAACAGCTTGGTCAACTACTTCTCATATTGTTGCAAAATTTCTTTGGCTCTAAATGAAGAGTCGAGAAACTTTGCTCCAACAGCTACGCCACCATGAGGCAGACTTTTTGAAGCCAAAGTTTTCAAGATCATTCTTTGCCCTTTGAAGATGACAGCAGCCAAATTCCAGAGGGCCTAAAATAAGACCAGCTAGTACAGGTATCAAGTGGGACAAAAAAATATTTTCTTTTTCCTCTCCTTTTCTTTCTCTCCCCTTCTTTTCTTAATGTCCTTCACCCTACCCCAACTTCAGTTGTCTTCCTTTTTAGTTTTATGATATTGTTGTCTATAAATCTGATTGAGTATATCCACGAGAATGGCACTGTAAGAATAACAATGAAAGCTGATCTAATTAATGTATATATATAATCTGGCAGATCATCAATCTCCAAAGAGTCATCTCAGAAAAAATAAAATAGGTCAACTGTTAAATTATTTCCCATACTCTCCAAAGTGAAGGACAGTATATTATTAAAAACAAAACACCAGTTTTGGAGTCAGACAGACTTGCATACCTGCATGTAACTGATAGTGAGTCTCTAACCTAGTATTGGTGTATGAGCTGTAGCATGGAATACCAAAATCCTGTACAGTGTGTGAAGACTGAAGGAGATAAAAACCCTTGGAATAGTGCCTGACGTTGTTTTTAAGTCAATAATTTAACAAATAGCAACTTCCCCAAGAAAAATCACAAACTGTATCTTCTCCTCACTCATCACTGTCCTCCCCCAAATCCAGAATGATAGAAAGAAGACAATTTGCTTAAAATGTCTGTAAACTAGCAAGGTTTTGGAGTTTGTGTGTTAAGTCTGAATTCAGAAAACTCCCTCTCTGATGTCCACGATCCTGTGGGTTGCCAAGGTCAAGAGCTATGAGAATAAAGTAATATTTACACAGTGAAGCTGAATAGAATCAGACTTGGAGAAAGCAACCAACTGAGTTGTATGACTGTCACTCTCAAGAAATATCCCGGAGTGACAATTCTTCCTTCTTTTTTTCCTGTTTTGCTTCCAGAAGAAGGAATATGACTAGAGTCATGGAGGCGAGATGAACAGCCCCTGAAAACCTTCTCAAGTAATAGCGACTAAATTTAGATGCCCTCTGCCCACTCCCTCTGCAGCTGCACTGCTGACTCATTCACAACTGAAGCATGGCCGATGAGCAGATTCACCCATTTATAAACCTGTCCAGGGCCATGGTCTCCAGCACTATGCCTTTGCACAGAGCTATATAGAGCCTTCCGGATAGATGAGTCTTTTTGTTCCTTGAACAGACAAAGCAGTTAAAACAAATTTCTGGTGTTACTCATGACATCAGTGGGAAATTCTTTACACTTAACCCAAATTCCTTCTGCCGTGGCTTCTGCCCATTCCCTTCTGGTTTGCATTCCTGCAACACACAGAATATTATTAAGGTAACAACTTGTTCTAAGCTCCTTAAGAAAAGGAGATTGTTTAATTATTAGCCCAAAGAGCTACTTAGAAAAATCACAGGTAAAATTTAAAGCTTCCTAACATCATCACGTCACATTTCCTTGACAATGGCAAGGTATAGCCAAGGAAAACTATTTGATTTTATCAATGCAATGGGAAAAGAGCACTGTAATTACTCTACTGTACCTAGCATTGTTCTCTATATCAAAGGCCAAAGTGGCTGATGGTTGATCAGTACCAGAGTTAACTCTGGGAGCGCAGAGACGGCCTTACAAAACAAAGCCTCCTCCATTCCCAAAATAGTCTGCAACTGTCACCGCTGCCAAGTGTGGCTGGCTCCAAGTGCTGACCTTGCTGTTGGTCTCAGAACTTCTCAAACTACCTGCGCTGGCCTCAGAA